TGTACACGGTATTTATCAGAACTCTTTGTGCTATAAATGGACCTAATGGGAGAATGGTACTATAGGACATTTCTTGATGCCGGAGAATTCAGAATTGGTCTTTGTAAGGATCCCCTCAAACCATTGAGAGATTGCCCAGAAAAAGCTGTGTTTGAGAATGGTTACTTCATTATGCAAGATGGAAAACCAGCAAAAATTTCTAATGCGTTCTGCTTATTCGAGCTCTGCGTCGGAGATATACCGTGGCGCCACATTTTGGTCTTTTATATATATTGTTACCCCTCGATTCCGAGGTCCAATGAAACAAGGCCACGTGGCAGGTAGTCAACAAGAAAGTCAAAAGAAGACCCAGTAGATCAAACACACAAAAGAAGTCAAAAGGCCGAGGTCCTTACACAGCGTCCGAAGTCCTCACACTGAATGACTAGAAGTTGGGAAATATGCTAATGTCCTCCACTTGAGAACTGTCTCGGATTTCTCCGAGGCACTCAATACATATAAAATTGTGCGGCTGACCTCTTATCAATATATTAATTGTATGAGTAGACAATGATGTGAAGTCTTAGTTAGGGAGATGAACCCACGTGGCTCCAATCCAACGGTCACCACATCAGTCAAGTCAGTATAACTAGGTCCTCTTTATAATGAAACAGGGCATGGAAAATATAGACCTGGACAATACTATGTACAAAAATACATTTGAACTCTCAAAAGAAAGATTATTAACATTTCATCTATCCTTTCATATATTCTGGTCCGTGATTACATAGATTAGTTCTGGTTTCGATTCGATAATCATGGCTAGTGCAATTGCTTACATTCCATCCGTCGGAGCTCGAACGACCTTGTCTCTCGCCGCAAAGTATCTCCCGCGTCCCTTTCTTCATTGCTACCGTCATCATTCCAGTAGGAACAAAACACAACCGTACTTGTCTTGGCGTAAGTGGGTCCTGCATCTGTTGATTCATTTTTTGTGGTCAACATATATAACATTTGAAACATATTAACAAATGTTCGACTTGATTGATGTGTTAAGAACAAATCAAGCTAGACAAAATTAAAGAAGAGAAACGTTATTTCTCCATCGTATTTACTAGCTAAATATTTTAGCAATATGAAAAGTAATAACATTTTGTAGGGAGAAACAAGTTGTAACACCCACTAAAGTCGCTCATAAAAATTAATTAAGCCCCTGTTTGGCCTGCATTATTTCTGGAAATTTGGAAGAGTTTGTACCGTTGAGGGGGCACCACCTGCTGATTATTTTTGACTTTCCACTCACACAATCCTTGGTTTTGGTGTCCAATGGCATTATTTCTCATTTTCATTTTGGGATTAATGCTGGCCAAACAGACGCTAAGTAATAATTTATTAGTATACTTATAAGATTTTATCAAGATATGTATTAAGCATCGAGAGTTAGCAACATATGAAAAATTGTTTCCAATCCAATTAATCGCATAGATCTTTACAGAGAAATACCTAATTAGTGATTAATCCTTCGGATTCGATGAATTTGAATATTAACTTTTAATCAACAATCTTAAATGAATTACTTCTAACCCTTGATTCTTCTCCAAATTCAGATTATACTAATGGGTGGACACACATATGCGACCAATAAATTTAAACGAAGACCCATTCAAGAATTCAAAACTTTGTTAATTTTCAGATATTGAATAAATGCATCTTAGAAATGTTGGGAAATTATTTAATTTCCCGTGATGGTCCGACATATGTAATTAACTGTGTATAAATGCTATCTTAAAGTTAAGCCCAAAATTAAAGTGATCTAATAAGGAATTAAGTAATTGGG